AGAGAGAGAGAGAGAGAGAGAGAGAGAGAGAGAGGTTCCAACTTTAAAATTAGCTCTCTAATATGGTATGTTTGCCTTCTGAACATATGACCCATGGTGTGACCTATAATTTAAAAAAAAAAATCATACATTCACACATATCAAAAATTCAGGTCAGATCCTAAAACATCTCTTAAGATCACCTGTTCTTTAAATGACTTGCGCAACTCTGCGCAGAATGCTATTGCAGGTGCTGCTTTAACCTTCTATGACTCCAGCCTTTCATTTAGCAGTGTCTATGTCTGTGCTACATCCTGTTATACATAAGGAATCGCATGTGCTCTTCAACTTGAATTACATTACATTTCTCACTGATGAGTTCTTGGGAGGTTTAACAGACCTTCTTAATCTGGCTCTTTGCAGGAACAAAATCAGCTTGAAGTTTTAGGCAACGGTGGAAGTGGATGAGGGCTTCTTTCTGCTGACCCATTTCCAACAGTACATTCCCTTTATGAAAGGAGCCCTGCACAAACAGAATGATGCAATCAGCACATTGGTGTCTGTTTAAGCAAAGACCTCCAGAGCATTTAAACAAAAACTCTACATGAAGTATGTTGCAGAATTACAGATTTTTTTTTCTGCACTAGAGGCGGAGTCAGTCAAACTGTAAAATGATGGTGTTACGGAACATTTCCTGTAAAATAACATCTCTGGATATTCAGTTCAATTCAGTTTTAACTATATAAATATAACTATCACAATGACAAGGTGCTTTCTATTGTAAGGTAACGACCCTAATATTAGAAAGAAACGCCAGCAATAAGACAAGCACCAGCTTAGGCCTATTACAGTTTAACTAAGGGAGCGTTCAGGGTCAGCTGATCCAGCCCTAACTATATGCTTTATCAAAAAGGAAAGTTCTATGCCTAATGTGAAAAGCAGAGACCATGTATGTCTCTCAAATCCAAACTGGGAGCTGGTTCCACAGAAGATGGGTCTAAAAGCTGAAGGCTCTGCCTCCCAGTAATCCTAGGAAGTACAAGAAAGCCAGCAGTCTGAGAGCAAAGAGCTCTAATGGGTTGATATGGTACTATGAGGTCGTTAAGATAAGATGGGACCTAATTATTCAACGTTTTGTAAGTGAGGAGAAGGATTTACTTAATTATATTTAATTATGAATTAACATTGATGCAATGAAAAGAACCTAATATGGGAGAAATATGCTCTCTTTCTAGTCCCCGTCAGTATTCAGAATTTTGAATCAACTGAAAACTTTTCAGGGAATTTTTAGAACAACCTGATACTAATAATGAATAGTGCAGCCTAGAAGTAATAAATGCATGAACTAGTTTTTCAGCAGAGGTGAGATAGGATGTTTCTAATTTTAGAGATATCGTGCAAATGAATGAAGACAGTCCTTGTTTAGTATGTGTGCTGAAGGACATATCCTGGTCATAAACAATTCCAAGGTTCCTCATGGTGCTACTAAAGGCCAAAGGTGATGCCACCCAGAGTAAGCATCTTGTTAGAAACCATGTTCCTAGGATTTCTAGGGCCGAGTACAATAACCTCCGCTTTGTCTAAATTTAGATATAAAAACAGAAACAATGCAATAATGGACTCTGTACAGTATGTTTTTCTGCATTAGCAGTGAGTCACCCACTGGCATGGAGTGATTAAATGACATTATGACATAAGTAGCTGTTTGCATAACATTGTGAATGACATAACATCAATAAAAGCAGGGGAATTGCTTCAAATGTATCAGGTCGACATGGTAAGGCAAATTATGAAATGAGGTAACACCTTCTTCCTGCAGTTACGGTTGTGCCATAGCATACATGTTACAAAACCGAGCCGACAGTGGGAGGGTGTGCAGGTTCAAATTCGGCTTTCCCACACCAGAGTGCAGTGAAATGCTATAAATGTGGCACTGTTAATGTTCCCTACAACAGATCAGCTTTTGTTGTCCGGACAAAAGAACCACACAGACAGCAAAGGCACACTGCGTCTGGCTGGCTCCGCTCCGTTCTCACCTCCGTCCAGCTGGGGCGAAGGCAGCAGAGGTAGTCGAGGTCCGTCAGAGCGTCGGAGAAACGCCTCAGGCCCAAGTTCGCTTCGGCCCTGAACACCTTCAAACTCTGGTCGTCTGGGACTAGAGGAAGTGAGAAAAGGTGAGATAGGTGAGGGATGATGGTGTGTGGAGCTTTTGAGGAGAAGTGGCCAAAATTAAAACAATCCAAACATTCAAATGAGGAAACACGCATCAGGTAGTAACAGGCCCACATAACAAGTAATTCTGCTTTCTGGAGCATGGAGGAAATCGACCCAAGAACTTATGATGCACCGCCTTAAGGAAATAATTGCTTTTGGCACCACTACTGACCATATAAAACAAAAAATGCAATTAAATGCCACTCCTCAATCACTGACATAACACACACATGGGCACGCTATATAAAGATAATTAATATTTGATCGAGCCCCTCCACCCCCCTGGCGCCGACAGCATCTGCACCTTCTGCTTCACATATGTGCACAGTCATCTCCTATTCCAGTCCATTCAAGACTTTCTAGCTTCAGCTGACACACTAGTGTGCATTCTAGGTTCCTGGTGACATTGTTACCTAAAGCTGCTTGACTAGTCATTACAAAAGAACCTGCAAGGTTATGCACATAAGCATTTGCAAACACAAAGTCAGTTCTTGGTAATGATCCTCTGAAACAACAAGTGAAAGTGAACAGGTGCCATGAGAAATCATCAAAAGAAAAGACAAAGAAGAAGAAGGGGAAAAAACTAGTTCACAAATCTGCAGGGAGCTCGTTACACAAGAGCCCGCAATGCTGGAGCAAGGTAGGTAGAAGTATTTAACTGGATTGGCAGAGGAGGCGAACATGAAGGTTAATTCAACTGATTCCCCATAGCACAAACACTCTCATGATCCCCTGGGCGCCTGCTGACTTGATCGACACATCTAAGGCAGGAGCAGACCCTTTTACTTCCTTGTGGCTGCATGAACCAAAAAAGAAAATAAAAAGAAAAAAAATCAACCGCACATGCAAAAGACGCCGAAGGTAAGCAGTTGCACAGATAACAGCTTGCAAGGCTGCAGTTGTTTAGTTTTTAAAATATTACAAAACATCTTTAAATTCCCCTCCTCCTGCAGAGGTGCATAAAAGAAGCACACACACCGACCGAGTCTGTGCCAGATACGTTTATCCAATCGACATCTCACCTTATGTCATAATGCTTAACTGCGTAATACAGCTGAATGAGACAGATGTTTCTTCCACTGCATCTTGCTTATTCAGCACAAATCACAAATTACTTTGTTGTTTCAATCAAATGGTTTAATATGTTTGATCATTTTGCATTCTCTATTAACCTTCTTAATAACCCGAGTACTTGGCTTTTAGGGGGGCTGCACCATCACTGGACACCAGCAAAGAGTATGTGCAGTGCGTAAAAGTGGAAGAAAAGGAGGAAAAAAGTAATTTGATTCCACGGAAAATAATAATAGTATTTATAAATCAAACAAACACTTAAAAAGAAAGAAAGAAAACACACACGCACACTTATGTGTGCCTGCACTTGTCAAGACCTCTCACGTGTGTCACTTACCTAAGTTCAGCCCCTCGTTCGCTAAGCGTAACGCTTCCGCGAACTCGGTGGCTTTGAGTTTCTCCTGAATTTGGCACTTCATCCCCTTCTCTTCGGGCCAGCACTTTTCCACGACGCCGATGAGCAAGACGTTGTTCTTCGTGTTTTTCACCTCCTTTTGTTTTAGCCTCTCTTTGCACAGCGGACATTTGGAAGGCAGGTAGCCCCCGACGCACCTCCGGCAGAACGTGTGGCCGCACGACACGGTCACCGGCTCGCACATCAGACAGAGGCAAAGGGGGCACTCCAGCATTTCCATTGTATTTTTTTTTTTTACTGGTTATGTCACTAGTACAGTGTCCCACGGGAAGAACTGTCGCTTTGTTCGTCAAAGCACTGCAGATAGACGGTTTGGCGGTATTGTTACTGCAAGGACCCTTTAAATTACATGCTGGCAGCTGGCGATGCACTAATAATAGTGTCACACATCTGCCTAAAGCACACCGCTTTCCGTCCGGCTGCAAAACTGAGTCCTCATACGCTCACCTGGCAAATTTTCTTTTCGTGTTCAAAACATTCAGTGACATTGTTCGTTTTCAGCCCTAACTTAGTCTTTGTATTGGGACAAATGCCATGTTCCCTTTTCAAAAAAGACTCTCGGCTCCCAGTCCAATGCGCCGGTTTCCTCGACGCTCAAAAAGTCCAAACACGCCGCACGATCGAGGTCGGTAAATCCGCACATCAATGTTATTTCTCTTTAGTAATCCGAGTCCGCTATTAACCCCTGTAGCCTACTTCTCCGCGGCCACGAAGCTAGGTGACTGTGTAACACCATTGCATTACATAAATAAAGATCACGTGACGCAGCAGCGAGCAATCCGATTGGGTGAAGTGAATGGCTTTCCACCCTGTTGTGAAACCCAACGATGCCGAGTTTCATAACATAATTCCTTCGACTACGCTTCCTATTATTTTCATCTGTACATTTAAACTACCCCAGGGCACGAGTTGATGGTATAGCGTGAGTAGGGGAAAAATGGTGGATATGATAAATCCAAGGGTGGAGAAAATTATGGAAACTACCTTGCCTCAAAGCAGGGAATTCCAGCTAAGGGTAATAACTTCCGAGGGGGTGCGGTGAAAGGATCAGTGCATATTACCTGGTTCTGTCCATCCTGTTTGTCGTTTAAAACAAAAGGTCAACACAAACACAGCTTAACGTCTATGCACAGCTAAAAATGTGCATACAGTTTGTGCCATTACATCATTACATAAAATGCAGTGTGCTGCAGAGCATTTACTCTAGGTCAATGAAATAAAGCTGGAATTTGCAACTGGCCAAATACACATACTCTTTATGTCTCAGAGCGACACACATCATGACTCCTGCCTGCTTCAAAAACAGCACACTTTTTGCATAGACGTTAGAACAGAAATCCTTGATGAATTCTCAGAGAAACAACCTTGGGTTGTCTTTTCAAATAAAAGAAAAATTGGGCCAAAACACATCTTGTGTATCACGCACTGATTTATTGAACTTATGCAAGTTACATAGACGCCTCAGCTAACATCACAGAAACGCAAGTAGTGAAATCTGCGCTGCAATCACCAGCCTGAGGTGTATTTTCAGTTTCAACAACCAAACATGTGCACTTGAATTGCTTTACAAGCAACCAGTTGAAAGGCTCACATTTCTTTCCCTGAACAGTTGTGTAAGAGCAATCTGCTGCAAGGCAACACAAAATTGGTTATACTGTTAGGTATGCTTATGAAAACCTATAAAAGAGGGAAGGGGGTCAGAATTATTTGACATTTTACATAATATACATGACGACTTTTTTGTGACGACTCTCCATGGATTACACAATCTGCAAATCAGTGACAAGAATCATGCATTGCAAACATAAAGGCAGTCCAGCATTTAGATGAGTTTTCATGCGACTCTGCTCTGACGGGTCTAATAAAGCCCTCTATGTTTCTGTGAGATGACTGCAAATTTGTTTATTGGGTTTATTACAATTATGCAAACTTAGCACCCCCACCTGATCTATGTTAAAAATTTCTATTCTGGGAATATGTTTTCCAGAATTAGTCAGAATTTCTACATTTTAAATAAAAACAACATTCAATGGGGCCCTTGAAAACACAGCTAGCACCCTCAAATGTCCATTTCTGACATTCACAGCTTCCCGTTAATGTGACAGCATTTATTGTCATAGTTTCAAGTTTCGTGGGTGAACGAGTACACTGGTCACTTCTAAATAAAGGTTTAGGCATCAGCCTTACTGTGTGGTACCTAGTAAAACAACACAAACGTGAATGATAAAGTCACATTAAGTGACACACATGGACAAAAGCATGACTGTGCATTTCTCTTGCTGGAGTGCTCATCTTATTAGAGCAGCAGTTCTCACACTACCTGCATGGCGGGAAACACTGGTGCAGTATAATCAACAAGGTGAAGTGAAACTTGAGTGGATTTTTTCTTAATGTGACCTTTAAGTAAAACTTTTTTTCTTAGTGGTTGGATAAAAACTGTGGAGTTTGGGGATTTAAATTAAACGTACTAGAAAAACTTTGAGAACCGATGCAGTTGAGAAAGCCATAAACAGCAAAGATGAAATGAGATAAAATGTTGCGCCCAACATTTTATCTCACCAGCTGTTTCAAGCTAGCAGTAAGAAACATTCGTCGATGATGTGTTCTGAAAGTTCAACTCAGAAGAGAGGTTACCGAGCATCACTGTTGTACAGTGTGGTTACACTTGATTTAATGCTGATAATTCTTGAGGCCCCAGGCACACATTTTTTATGTGTATGGCAAAAACCACAGGTATAACATGTTCACTCTCTAAATCACTCTTGTGCATGAAACCATGAGAACAGAGATGTATTACAACCATATACGTATAACTCAATAGCAGAATGCAGTCATGTTAAAGACTTGTGGAGCAAAGACCAGTGACATAACCAGTTATAAAATAAAAAGAACAAAAATATTCTGTGTATACCATGTACGAAAGTGCCATATTTACACAGAGTTCAGCAAAGAAACGACAAAAAAGAAAGAACATAATATTAAACTATGCTAGTTCATCAATAATGCTGCACATGGCAGCATCCTTGTCCCATTTGTCACTTCTTGAAGTAGGGATGCTCTTCTCCTGCTGACTCGTTGCCATGCAGCTGGCAGCTGCTTCCTCTATATCCATAGGTTCTGTTTTCAGCCTGGTGGCCTGCCCAGATGAACAGCCAACACTAGCTGCAGGAGGCGCACTCTTTGTCCCATCACAAGCACCATCCTGACCTTCCACTTGAGGCAAGTCATCAGGCAGGGAGGCAAGGCACCCCTGGATCATCTCCACCACCCTCTCCAGATGTTTCTGGAACCTCTCTGCTGTCTCTAGCCTCTGTCTTTTCTGGACCTCCATCATCACCCTTAGCGTCTCCCTGGCTTGATGCGGTCTGTACTCATTTATCAGATGGTGCATATGGACAAACAGAAGCTTTATGTCTTCCAGCTTCTCTTCACGCTTTATACTACCAGGGCTCTTGATAAGGATGTCCAGAAGGTCCAAAAAGTTCACAAGAATGGACATGTTCAGTTTCTTGAGCTCCCGTTTGTGGTCAAACTGCATAGGGTGAAGCCTCTCAATGCCTTGGCTTTCGAGAGGCCGGATGATGAGGTCATCACACTGGAAATGGTTGCCAAACATCATGTAATTATCTCTGATGGGTGGAGGTGGCTTAGGGGCCAGACCCTTGCGGATGTTTTCATCTGTGTACTCTTTGATGTACTGCATCGGTGGAGGAGGCAGGGCGCTGACCTGCTGTGGTTCACCCATGATACCGACCTGAAAGCACAAGAATCCGTGTCAATATATATAAAAAGGAAAGCAACACACATTAGGTTTTGCAATTTAGTATCTTAATTTAAAAAAAAAGTGTTTACAGTTCACAGTAGTTGAACATAAACACATTAATTTAGGCTATGTGCCTAAATATAACAGAAGTGAAAAGGTGTCTCTCTCACTTCACTATTGGGGGCACAGGTAGACAAGAAGCAGGATGTTTGCCGCAAAAAGACGGCATAGCTTTTTAATTGCAGAGACGTTAGCCGTGTCTAAATAGTTTGCTTGCACTAACTCCAAACAAATTCAGTGTTTGTTTGAGACCATCGCTTCGAAAGATGTGCTAAGAGGCCTATGCTAACACAAACTGCCCAGCCAGTTGTCTGTACAGTAAATATCTGCATATAACTTATGTTAAACGCTGTCTGCATGGGAATAGAGTTGAGTGAAGACTACCATTTACTGTCGCAAAACTATGTTTGTTTTATCAACATGTTAGCCCTTTACTCTCCAACTAACTCCAGTCGTTAGCTTACCTGCTGACTGACTAACTGCTAACCTCCGCTAACGAGTTAAATCGCTACACTAAATATAATGCTAACCCACAATACCTTTAAAAGGGGGAAGACTTATGATATTTATACACACCTTTCAAATAACTCTTTAGTCGCTGAAGATATAAGACGCTAGATATAGACGTCCGTTAGTTCCGACCATTAGCTTGTAGCTACTTTAGCTCCTTCCATTCCACACTAACAAGATTTTCGTTTCAGTCCCTAAGGCTCGACGTCATTGGTTTTTGTCCCGCGGATTGGACGATAGCAATGGAACAAACTAAACACCGATTGGGTGTGAGGATACCACGCTTGATCTTGTAGTTTTTGATACGAAAGTGCTTAATTCGAAGCTTATTTTGTACAGGACTGATGTCTTTTTACAATAGTGACCATCTCCAGCACCTGTTATCATTTGATAATGTCAAATATTTTTCTAGTCAAAGCAAACCAGCAGTTTACAACGCCACCAATACTTTTAGAATAGAATAGAATAGAATAGAATAGAATGCCTTTATTGTCACTATACAGTTGTACAATGAGATACAGAGCATCTCCTACTCAGTGTAAACATGGGGGGGGGGGACAGTTCTGCAGCGCTATATACATATGGACAGATTAACATAGAAAACACAATATATATAATTACATATATAAATATATATATATTAATATATATATATATATTTGTAATGTATTTTAGAATGCTACTCTAAATACAAGTAAGTAGTATGTAATAAATAGGGTTGTGTATATACAGTTAAGTTATTGCACATAGAATTGGTATTGCACAGTGGTGGTCCATAGAGGAAGTTGGAAGTGGGGGGCTGTGTTATCGGTGCATGTGTGAGTTCAGGGTGGTTATGGCTTTGGGGAAGAAACTGTTTTTGACTCTGTGGGTTTTTGTGTTGATGCACCCGTAGCGCTTCCCTGAGGGAAGCAGGCTGAACATGTTGAAACCAGGGTGGGAGCTGTCCTTGATAATGTTTGCTGCTCTGCTGAGGCAGCGAGAGGAATAAATGTCCATCAGGGAGGGGAGAGGGCAGCCGATGATCTTTTGTGCTGTCTTGACCACACTCTGGAGCCTCACTCTATCGACCTTGGTGCAGCTGCTATACCATACCGTGATGTAGTAGGTTAGCAGGCTCTCAATGGACGAATACAGTTGAATGCTTTTAATCACTATAGTGTATTGAGCATCTTAAGTTCACCCTTCTGATTCTGTCACATCTTTAAAACAAATGAAAACTTTCCACATTTTTAGTTTGGAGCTTTAGATTTAGAAAATAAATTATTTAGTGTCACACGGTCCTTCACATCTACTTTTACACTTATTTTATACTTATTTGCACTTATTTACATACAGCATGACAAATATTCTCTTTTATTAAATACTCATATGGAACAAAATTGCTGAACATTTCCCATTCAACAGCACAGATGTTAACTCCTAAAAATGTTAAATTCAGGTATTTTCTGGAAATGTTTTTAATTGACAAAAGAAGAAAGAGCCTTGAATTTTGACATTTACACAGTTCAAACTGTATAAAAATATACAGTCAAAGCCGATTTTGTAATTTTGGCTTTTTGGATCTGTTTTGTTGTTGTTGTTTTTTGACAATAAATAAATAAAATTAAATTAAATTAAATTAAATTGCAATCCCAACTCATTAAATCCACACCAATCTGTTGGAACACTTTCCTGGTGGTGGTGCTGTAGTATCCTTTAAATCTTTCATTCGGTGTGACTGTAAAAATATTTTCAGATTTTAACTTTAACTACATTTTCTTCCATTGTAAGTTGACAGCACTACCTCAGCAGTTTGAAATTTTTCAGTCACTTTAAAATCATTAATGGAGCCCAACCATATTCTTATTACCATATCATTACTGTTACAATATTATTGTTACTATATTATAACTTGTATTATTATTATTAACCTTCTTTTCCTGCACAAACCCCCAAAAAACCAAGTAAAATTTAAAGGAGAAAAAAGCAGTGATGGAGAAAAAACAGGGCAAATCCTAAAAGACATCATGAACACGTAACCCCAAACTCTAAATGTATTAATTATGGCAGGGGGAAAAAAACAGATTCTTTTGTGTGTGTGTTTCTTGCAATCTCACAATCTCAGTAAAAACTTTTGTTTTTTCCCCTATTACTTTCTTGTTTCAAGTTAAAATCATTTATGCCACTTTTTGCCCTCTTAGATTGAACCCCCCCTTTGCCCAATGCTGACATTATAACCCAACCTCACTGTAGTAGTGGGACACATCCGTGACCTTTGAAGTGAATGTTGATGGAAAGCGTTGAAAAATGTAAAGGTTAACGAGTCATCCTTTTTCTGGGGATCGCACTACTCATAGTGGCTGACTGCAACGTGCACTTAGTGAGTGAAAGTGCCTGCGAGCACCCTGAACGGTGTGTATGTGCGCGCACGCGTGTATTTCGCTTGCACAACGCATTTGTTGCCGTAGGATGTGGTTTACTGTGCAACAACCCTATGCCGGAAACTCTACGACATCTATCAACTTATCATCCTCAATTTTTTTTTCTTGTACACTCACTGCTACTCTGTCTCTGCATGCTGTAGGCAATGCCGCCTCTCTTGGTATGACAAAACAAGGCAGTATTTCTCATTGCGCTTCTCATAGCTGGTAAAATGTTCCCCAGGGTGATTTTGAAGGGAACTCTGATCAAAAAATCTCAACAGAAGAAGCGAGTGTCACCCTGTAACTATAAAGAGCGATTTTTTGTGTTGGATACCCAAGACCTGAAGTATTCTGAACGTCGTCCCGGGGTAAGTACAGTATGTGCGGTTAATCTGTAGAGCTGTTTCAGGAATGCAGACTCTTGGCTGTTTGCTGTAATCTAAGCTGTTTTGTTGCAGAAAAAGCCTTTGCTGAAAGGTTGCATCGAGCTGTCCAGAATTAAGTGCGTGGAGATTGTGTGTACTGATGTGCCCATACCATGCAGCTTTAAGTACCCTTTTCAGGTAAGATTCCTCATTTCCTAGAGACCAACTCAATTGTCACCGCATTAAAATCTACTAAACACTGCGACATACACCCTATATACAGTGTATGGTGAAGTATGACTGAAAATGACAACGCATATAACCTTTCTTTAAAATCTCAATTCTTCTGCAGGTTTTTCATGACAGTTATTACCTCTACATATTTGCACCAGACAATGACTGCCGTCAGAAATGGGTCAGAGCTCTTAAAGAGGGTAAGCCATTACCATATATCACCAGTCAAATAATAATAATAGTAATATGACAAGTCGATGATAAACCGCTGATTGTATGAACTGCAAACACGTACGGATGGATATTTCAAACAATATTTCCCTTGTTCTGTCTGATGTAGAGACAAAGAATAACAACTTAGTTCCAAAATACCACCCAAACTTCTGGATGGATGGAAAATGGAGATGCTGCCAGCAAACAGAGAAACTGGCGACTGGGTGCAACGTGTACGACCCAGTGGGCTATGGTTTGTAGCATTTCTTTTTCCTTCTCTTCTACTTCGTGAATCCAATGATTTGTGGAAGCGATTCCATTTGAATTAAGATATTTGTATGGCTTTCGCACATATGGTTAGAGTAAACTTGAACTAAATGCTTTCGTTTTGCCTAATCCAGTTCATACCGTTGTTGCTTTGTGAGTTTAGATGGGCCAAATAGCTCTCCAATTTAACATTTCTGTTTCCCCTACAGCCTCTAAAAAGCCGCTTCCCAGCCTCCCGGAGCCAGAGGTACCACCATCTAAAACACAAACGACACAAGCTTTTGAAATGTTATTGTGGTTATTACTGATATTCCAATGAAGCGAGGGAGACCAAATCACTTTTTCAGTTTTAATGCCTGTCATGTTTGTCTGCAATATTTTTAAACACAGTTTCTCTCTACATATTTAATAATTAGGTCATGCATTGGTTTTTAACCACTGCTTCTGTGGTTTGATTTTGTGTGTTCAGGCAGCAGCTCTGTAGTTGATTCAGCGCACATGTGTTTGAGTGTTTACTTAAATAGATAGATAGTAGAAGAAATAGAAGTACATTAAAGTTTTTCAAATGAAAATCCTTGTTGATACTTTTTCCTTTGGCACCATGAAAATGTAATTTCATTTGAAAGCTCTGGATTTTGTATTTGTGTATGAACTTTTTGGGAAGAGTTCACTCAGACCTCTCAATAATTTGTACCAGGTAATTTCCACCACTTAAAAAACATTTTCCTGATTGGCAGAGCTAAATTCAAAATTTGGGGTTCTTATTGTAAAACTTCAGCTTCATGATTCTAAATCTCGAGTTATTTTCTCATCTCATCTCGGAAGTTTATGATAGTATGTTGAAATTTAGAGGTAATAACCCAAAATTTTGACTTATGTTTGCCAAAAAAATGTTTTTGCAGCTTCCATACCTGTACAAATGGTTTTTAAATCAGATTTTTTCCTCCCTTTCCAGATGGAGCTGGAAGATGCGGGGCAACAGAAGGTCATCGCTTTGCAAAACTACACGCCACAGGGAGACAATGACTTACCTCTTCAGAAAGATCAGGAGTATCTCCTGGTTAAGAATTCCCATTCCACCTGGTGGCTTGTACAGGATGAGAGAGGGTAAAGCGCATTACAGCCAATGCCAAATTCATTTGAACTGTTTACATTAAAAAATAGCATACAAAAGAAGAACCATTAGCTAAATCCCTTTTCCTGTCACCCATTAGGAACTCGGGTTTTGTGCCCAGTACATACGTAGCTGAAAAATCCATCAACAACTTTGAAAGATTTGAGTGAGTTTGAATTCATTTCTTTTACTCGAGCTTTTAATTTGCAGTGTTTATTGCTGCTAATGAATTACCATGTTTTCCCTCCAAAACTGATTTAATTGTTGTGTTAAATGTTTAATGTGTTCTCAACAGATGGTACAACAAAAACATTAGCAGAGCGCAAGCAGAAGAATTGCTAATGAAAGAGGTAAAAACAAAAACTCAGTTCTGTTTGGCAATAAAATTTCAAATAATGATTTTGATATGATGATGACAGGCAAGATTTAGCCCCTGTATGACACAGTGCATTTTGATGCGACTGTGCCGCCAACAGCAATGTTGCATTTGCAAAATCGCTGCATATGCACCTGCACAACGACAATTCGACTTGACATAGAACATGAAAAAAAAAAAAATTCTCACAACCACAAAGTTTCCTCCAATGTTGAATTTCCTGCTTTGCTAAGTTTTGCAAGCAGGAAGGGAAAACGGTTATCCATCGTCGTCTTTGAATTAAAACGGCCGCCAGACGTGTTACAGAATGCACCGCCGAACGTGGGAAATCTTATGTGATCTCGTTATTCTGTCTTTAGGGTAAGGAAGGTGCATTCATTGTGCGGGACTCAAGACAGGCGGGAGTGTACACAGTGTCTGTTTTTTCCAAAGCACCAGGGTAAATGTTATTTATAGTGTTCTTATGAATTTACTTAAAAAATATCTATCAAACAACTCTATAATTAAAACAGTCATATATGGTTACTTATATCATGAAAAAAAATTGATGGCTCATAGGATTTCAATCATTTTAAGTGACCGTTAAAGATGTAACCAATGAGAATTAAGTATAAGATTAGTGTAATCTTGTGATATTTTTCTGATCTTCCAATGTTTATGTGTAATCATCTGCTCAGGCAAACATTTGCTTTAAAAATGTTTGTTAAGTTAAGCATATATTCTCATCAGGTCTAATGGGGAGAAGAATCCGAGAGTGAAGCATTACCAAATTAGACAAACCGAAACGAGCCCAGCTTCTTTTTACCTGGCAGAGAAATACCTGTTTAGCACCATTCCTGAGCTCATATATTACCACCAGCACAATGCTGCAGGTAAGTGTGCCAGCTTTTCTCATGCAACAGCATTATTTCAAAAAGTTCAAAGGATAAATGAAGTTCATCTTATGAAACAGCTAAATTCTTGGTCCTGCTTTTTAAATTTCCCGTTGTCTCTTTCTCTTTGTGCAGGGCTAATAACACGGCTGAGACACCCCGTCTCTCAAGGTCAATGCTGCTCCCAGGATTCTACTGATATCGCAAAAGGTTTAAGTCTTTTTGTGATGCCCGAAGTTTGTTGAACTAAAGCTCCAAGCAGTCCTAATTTATTGCTGTGAATCTCGTTTTTGCTGACCTCTGGTGGGTTGCACAGCATTACACTTCAGGGCTGTTAAGTAACTCCACCCTTTTGTCTTTTAATATAAACCAATGTAATACAAATTAATCTTTGCTGGACAAAAAGCAAGTGAAAATGAGAAAAAAAAAGTCCTTTTTTATTTGTGAAACTTGCATGAAGAAGTTTAACTCTATGGTTATATAACTGAGCTATAGTGTGGATGCTTTGGTTCACTGCTGGTTTGCTGGTTAACAGATCAGTGGGAAGTGGACCCTAAGGAGCTGATACTGGGTCAGGAGATAGGCAGCGGCCAGTTTGGACTGGTGCTGGAAGGCAGCTGGAGGGATCTCAAGGTAGCGGTGAAGATGGTAAGAGAAGAGTGCATGTCAGACGACGAATTTAAAGAAGAGGCACGGATTATGATGTAAGTACAGTTCATGGTGGAGATCTGTAAAACGAGTTTGAAACCACTCAGTTTATCTGTGCATGTGTGTTTTAACAGGAGACTCTCTCACTCGAAGCTGGTACAGCTGTATGGCGTGTGCACACAACATTCTCCTATCTGCCTCGTGTTTGAGTACATGGAAAACGGCTGCCTGACGGACTACCTGCGAGAAAGGAAAGGCTCGTTGCCTCAGGATATATTGTTGGGGATGTGTCTGGATGTCAGCGAAGGGATGGCTTATCTAGAGATGTCCAACTTCATCCACAGAGATCTGGTAAATAAATAAAGTGCTCTTTCATGATACACTTTCATATCCCTGCTTTGTTAGAGGACTTTATCCTTCCTTTCTTCCTTCCAAAGGCTGCCAGGAACTGTCTCGTCTCAAAGAACAACGAGGTGAAGGTATCGGACTTTGGAATGACCAGGTATGTTCGTGAAGATCAGTTTTTTAAATTATTATATAACATTAATGTCACAGTAAGTCACAGCTTATGGTCTGTGTCCACTCTCCATACCCTAGATTTGTTCTTGATGATCAGTACACGAGCTCACAGTGCTCCAAGTTCCCTGTCAAGTGGTCAGCCCCAGAGGTCATCAGATACTGCAAATTCAGCACCAAGTCTGACGTCTGGTCATTCGGTGAGTTTGGGCGCTTGTCTGCCATTCAGCTGTTTGGTTTGCATTTCTGATTCACTCGTCTGGCAAGTTTTGCAGGTTGGGTGAGAGCAGATTAAATCATATTTGTTTTCCTGATGGCACATGTGCTCAACTGTAGTTAAATAACACTGCAGTGGTTTAGACGTTATATATTAAACAATTCTTTTTATCCTGTGAAAAAAAAAACTGTGCTCAAACTGAAGCACAGTTTTCTTGGGCAGACTATTACTGCAGTTTTCCGTGACAAAGCCATTTTTTTTTGGTAAATTTTTATATAAAATAGCCTAAAAGCTAGCCATTTTCATGATTCAGTGACAATTAGTGGATGCACAATAAGCTCAGACAATTGCCGAGGTTTGAAAGGAGATTAAACAGACAGAAAGCTTTTAGCTTGACGTCATCTTTGGGGGAAAAAAAGATTCTGTATTTTGAAGTTATGACTTTCTTATGTAAAACGGATGTGCTAAAACTAAGTAAAAATAAAACATATTATAACTTCTATAATAGGGGTTACTATTTCTATTTCTAAACAGATTTGAATTATGACCTATTCTAAAAAGGTCTGGATCCAATTACTGACCTCCCTTAGAAATCGTGAAAAACAAATGAACTGCAGTGACAGTTTAAGCAGGCTATTGCTTTTTATTGGTAACACAAGTGTTTTCAATCATGATTCTATGCATTGAAATGGTAAAAGAGTAATAATTCATCTGTATAGTATCATTGTTACACTGATGATGGGCAGGAGAAAGAGGGGAAAAGTTTGTCTGAGGCGTCTTTCAAAAGATTCTTTATGTCAAGATTTTTACTTCCTGGTTAAATAACAGTTTAAAACTAAAAGAGACAGTCGGACCATCTACAGGCTGTGTGAAGTTCTTGAGACTGCAGCTGCTAAGAATATTAGGAAACTCTTTCATTGGATTCTTTCATGCCGGCTTCAGTGGATGAGGCTACCAGAGGAACATTAACTCCAGACTAAACAGAGCTGATTTAAAGGATCAAAGTGCAAAAGCGTCTGTCGACACCATACGTCGGTTTCTGAATGAAGGTTGATAAAGAGACCCGGCTTTTGAAAGAGGATTATAAAAAAAAAACCTTAAACTTGTGTTTGATAAAATACAAATAGACAAGTCAAAGCGGTTCTTGTTGGATGAAGTTTGGGATTTAAAACTAGTTTCCAAGTTTGCCGAAAAAAAGAAGCTTTTGAAGAAAAGAACGCCGTGGACGACGGATTTCATCAAGATAATCTGGAGTGAAATACATTTATGTACCTGTGCCAGAGCTCTGTGCCAGTCACAAGTCAACGCTGCTTCTTCCAACAGTATAAAGATCTGAAACATACTTCCAACAAGATGGACTGAAACAAAATCACTTGAGCCGAGTGTGGAAAAAGCTGAAACTCACAGTGGGGGGAAAACGTGTTCATCAAACCTGAATGAACCGCAGCGGTTTGAACATGAAGAGTCAAACAACCTACAGAGATGTGTGAGTGTGTGTGTGTAGGTGTGTGTGGGGGTAGGTAAGTGGGTGAAAGGGAGGTGGGCGTCCTCTTGTGAAGAATCACAAAAACTGCTCAGCTGCACAATATTACAATTAAGGATCAAATACTTTAGGCAGACGACTATATTTGTTGTATTGAATGAAAGCGAGATGAATTACTTTTAAAGTAAGAACTTACAGCAGAGCAAATTTTAGGTGTGTGTGTGTGTCTCATGTGTAGGTGTGTTTTTTTTTTATTGGGTAGCAACAATTTTGGCCAATTCTGATCTGTAGTAAATTACTCTCAAATGAGGCTAAAAATAAATATGTTTCAGTTATATAAAAAAAAAAAATAAATAAAAACACACTGCACTGGACTAGAGTAGCTCACTGTTAAACGAACGATACAATATGGACTAAAATGCTTCCATATTGTTTAACAAGTGCTGCCTCCGTGTCCCTCTTCAGGTGTGCTCATGTGGGAGGTGTACAACGAAGGCCGACTCCCCTATGAGAACCGCACTAATGCAGAAGTGGTGGACTCCCTGAACGCAGGCCTGAGGCTCCTGAAGCCACGCTTGGCCCCGGACTCTGTCCACCTACTCATGGAGTGGTGTTGGAAGGAGGTGAGGACATTACCCTTTTTTCAAGCAGAACTTCTGCTGATCATAAAATGAGCAAACGATTAACTGTCGTTTGTTTTCTGTTCTGTTCCCAGAAACCAGACGATCGCCCAACATTTGGGCTCCTCTTTCACGAGCTGGCCTCCCTTTCAGACGCCTGAACCAACATGTGATTTGTGATTTTTTTTATATATAATATTTATTTTATTTATTTACTGTAACCAGTTGCTTGTCATTTGTAAAGTTAGATTATTCCAAAGCAATTTTATATCCTGGATTTTGCACTTTATCTCTTTCGTAGCTTTGTAAGTATCCCCTGAGAGGGCTCACACAGTCCATTCACACAGCTACTGGTGCTTCCTGCAGAATCATGTAAAGGTCTGAGTAATTCTATAAGCCATATAAAAGTGAGATGTTTGCTTTTCAGTCAGCTGACTGTCATTAAACTGAATGTTTTACATCTTGTCACTTCTCACTGTCTTAGTTTCCTCCACTACAATAATGAAATCTTGGCATAAGAAATATTTTTGTTTCTATATGAAGAAATTATTGAAGTTGCCAGATGTTATATATATTTAGAAATTAGAAAGGCTTTCCTGTTTTATGGAGCTCACTGACATTAGCCACAACAGTCATATTTTTGATGATCATCCATATACTGTATATAAAAGATGGACATAGCTACAACAAAGTCATGAGTCATGTTTTTTTTTTTTTTAATGAATTAATTTTGGAGTCACAGGTGACCACATTTGGTCAAGATAGATTTATTACTCATTGCTCGGATACATCGTAATATGTGGTAAGTAATATGAGTCATTGAAACTGTGCTAAAGGTGGAGCGCAGTCTTCTTGATTAGACTATTACTACAATTATCCAGAGATGAAGTCATGTTTTTGTGAAATTATATTTAACAAAAAAATGCTCCATATCGCACCCACACCATGAACAAGGTTGGTCGATTTCAACTGTGTGACTCTAACTTCTACAGCTGTCTATACCAGCAGCCCCCCACCCCCGGGCCACGGACCGGTCATTTGGTACCGGGCCACGAGAGTTGAGCCTCGGGTGTGAAATTTATGGTTTTCAGGGTTTGTATCGTTAACTCGGTTTCCCTGGGTCTTTTCCCGTGTTGTAGTTGCATGTCTTTTTTTGAAAGAAATATTTACACATTACCATAGCGACCAGAGAGCATTAAGAGGCAGAGAGGAGGATGTTACTCTCAATGTTGTTGGTGCATTTCAGGAGGACGCTGCTAATTAAGTTACACAATTACACAGTGAATTCACGTTTATTATTATATTTACAAAATACCACAGTTTTTGTCTTGGTCGTATCTTTTGTTGTTGTTGTTGTTGTTGTTGTTGTTGTTGTTGTTGTTGTTGTTGTTGTATTTATCCGCAACACCTTAAAGGCCGGTCAGTTAAAATATTGTCTGACATTAAACCGGGTTGTGGCGTAAAAAAGGTTGAGGACCGCTGGTCTATACCCACATCAATTTTTCAGTCAAATAAGCCATACATTATTGGAATGACTCACTTTTGGAGCCAGACTCCAGTGGCCAGTCAAAGAACTGCAGTTTCTGGTACAGGCACAGTAACTTTTTTCCCATATCAAATGATCAATAATTCTCTTGTATCATGTAAGTAAGTAAGTAAGTAAAATTTATTTATATAGTGCTTTTCACAGATAAAAATCACAAAGTGCTTTACAACACAGAAAATGGGAATATAAAAACAATATAACAGTAAATAAAACAATGTAAAACAATAAAACTATAAAAACAGCATAAGAAGAAATTAATCAAATGCTTTTCTAAATAAAAATGTCTTCAGCTGTTTCTTAAAAGAATCAATGGAGTCCGTGCAGCGAAGAGACAGTGGGAGAGAATTCCACAACCGTGGTGCCACAGTCTGAAAGGCCCGATCACCACGAGTTTTAAAACGAGTGCGCGGTACCACCAGCAGTCTCTGATCTAATGACCTTAAAGCCCGAGAAGATGTATGTGGTTTCAGCAGGTCAGATAAATATTGAGGAGCCTGACCATGTAGGGCCCTAAAGGTTAGAACTAAAATTTTAAAATGAAACCTAAAATTTACAGGCAACCAGTGAAGGGAGGCCAAGACTGGAGTGATATGCGATCTTCTCTTGGTGCCATGTCAGCCAACGCATTCTCTTCTGAGGATAGTGGCAAGACGTGGAATTGCAGTTTCCTGCTGGGACATAGAGCAATGTGCAAAAGTCTTGAGCCAGCGCTCATTTTTTAATATCCATTATAGGAAAATGGAAAAAAGGTGCAGAGAATGGAAATCCAGTGTAATTTGGCATACCTCAGCCTTTTCTTTCCATTTCCCTTCCCTAAGGATGTCTTCTTGACACCCTTCCACTGTGCCAGTGGAAGGGTGTCAAGTAGATGGATCAGCTGAAGGGTCAGGCACATCTCTCAGGTTCTAAAGATACAATTTAAAACTGATTTGTTGCTAAATTGTGTGTTATTTGCAGATAGAATGAATGTTGGTTCATTGTTTGAGTGCCTTGGTGGCTTTTAAATGCTTGAAGTGTTAAAGCAGCCAATGTATAAAGAAAAACTTTGAAAGACCTTCAGAAAGCCTGAAGAACTATCACTCAAGACCACATTAAGAGGTTACAAGAAAGTCAAGAAATCAAGAATGACTAAAGACTCTGCACAGCATTTTTTTTCAAAGAAGGCCTCGCATATTTCATCAAGCCAATACTGAACACAACACAAGGCAACTCAATTACAACATATGGCTACATATGGTAGAGGAGTCCGGGTGCAGAACTGGCCAGTACAGACGTTTCTCCATATGAAAACATCTGGCGTCTAATGAAATGGAAAATACTACAAATCAAACCCAGGAATGTCGAGCAACTTTTTGTGATTTCTTTGCTTAAAATGAGCAATTTTCTCAAATTAAGCATGTTATATGTTTTCTATGTTGATGTATGAATAAAAAATAGGTTTATAAGATCTGCAAGTGAAAATGGGATTTCTGTGGTCTTTAAGCAGTTCACACAACATTCCAAGTTTTCTGGAATCAAGGTTATAGCATGTTGTCATTATAAAGTACTGTATTCAACACATACGTTTGAAATAATAAACAATAATATTTAACTACATGCTACTACATGCAACTTGAATTCATAATTATAAATAGTAGTACAAGGTGGGTGAAGTAGGGCCCTTTACTTTTTTCTATATCCTATTTATCATGTAATTAGAATTCATACAGAGAACTGAGAATTTACCACCGCCTCCTTTAAGTGAGGTTACCCTCAGTTTCCCTATACATACAACATATACCCACAGCTTTTGATGTTGTCAATTTAAAAGCCTGAAACGCATTATGTGTTTATCCGTACCCAAAGTATTTTTAAGCAGAAAACTAGCTCAAATGAAGCGAATCAACATGTCGGGGCTCCTCTCATCATCGCCTGTGCTCCACTGTGACTGTCTCTTTAAGAAAATGCACTTGCAGCCATTTTCTGCTCTTTGTGTGGGGTGGATTAGCACCGGGTTGGTACTGGGCGAAACTAGAGCATCAGTCGACATAGAAGACGTGGAAAAAAAGAAAATAAAAACCTAGGAAACATTGGCTCGCCGTCGCAGACCGCGACACGGTCCGCCCGATTTAGTTTGTCGCCGGACGGACATGCAATTTTCAGGTATGTGGCAAAAAGTAGCGATGGATGCAGACGCAGCGAAGAAGATGAACGGGGCTGGTGATGTGCTTTGGGTAGTGATGATGGCTGGAGACTGGAGTGCTGTTTTTCCCCCCCTTCTTTTTATTTTGCCTCCTTTTCGCATTTCACATCCTTTCCCTTTACTTATCTGTCCGTGCGCAAATGTAACAATAGGGGGATCCTTGTAAATAGGAGGGACTTGATTGGGATCGAGCGCCCCGCTTTATCGTGGATAATTGTGGCACATGAATGGGATCCCCGTTAGCTTACATCGGCATCGTAGCTCACGCTGAGATGGGTGGGGTGAGGAGAGGGTGCCTGTGTGGCAAGTGCACTGATGAATGATGGAGCACGTAAGGCTCCACGGTTTTCTGAGCTGATAACAACCGTTTCGCTGCACAGACACAGAAAGATGTCGAAAAATAACGTTTTGGTGTTTCAGATTGCTCGATTTCACGACGATGCTCTGGCTTTTTAATTTTTTTCCCTTAAAGGTCCTCTCCCCTCTTTCCAATCGACTAACAGGCCACAGCACGGCCAGATGCACAGGATTGTTTCACAGCTATCACACCAGCAGGCAGGCAGGGCCGTTACTTGTGCTCAAATGACAGGTTCACCCACTTCCGTCTCAGACAGGCTTAGTCTTAACCCAGATGTTTTTCCTTTCCATTTCTCTCCTACAGACGAACCTGCCAGTTTGGGTAGAAATGTAAGCCTGCCATTGCTGCAGACTCTCTGAGCTGTAAATCTGTATGCCAGACCCTCACCCACAAGCAGTGATGTAATGCTTGAATCTTGATGCTTTGCTTTTGCTAACACTAAGGATTGCAAAATTAAAACCACAATGAAAATGAAACCCGGTGCCATTAATAGTCAGGTAAAATTAGGATTGTTTTTTTTTTTTTTTAAAAAGAGTCTTCTTTAGGTTTGTGATAGTTTTATGGGAAAACTTCACATTTTTGACTGACTAAAACGAGTGTTTCTTGTTTCTCTGAAAGTGTAATTTGCTAAGATTGATAATAATAATAATTATTGTTGTCAGTAGTAGTAGAAGTAGTAGTATTAATAAGAATAATTTGTTGCAATTCAGGTATTATTGTTAATATTAGCTTGCTAACCTCGCTCATGTGTTAAAACACACACACATATGTTCATTTATGATGGGTTTTTTTTTTTAAATTTTCATGATTGCACTGTATTCAGTCAAATGGCAAAAAGTATTGTTCATATACACTAAAATATAAATAGATAAATACATAGGTTTATTGTTTGTCTTCTTTGCAAAATCCATATTCATTGCATAAGATAAAGTAATCAATTACTGGCATTAGTAGCATCACTGCTTGATTGACATTTATTTACAGATATACATTCCAATGAACCCAGAGTACCACGGCACTAAAATCTGTTAAGCAAAATGTGTTTACAAAAACTACAACATGCATGTAACATACACATATGTCAACAACGTACATGTAGCGTACATCTAATGTCAACAACTAACAAGTACACGTAATGTCAGCCACATACACGTAACATACACGAAATGTCAACAACATACATATAATGTTGTTCATTTTTCAGGTCAGGTACTTCACCTACATTTATAATTTGTAAAGATTTGACTGGTATTAAAAAAAAGTTCCCAAAAGCTACATAGATGTTAATAATCCTGGTAACATAGACAGTTTGCATAGTAAGTTACAGATTCAATTGTGTCTAAGAGGGTTAATACATACATATGCTACGATCAT